CACACACACACACACACACACACACACACACACACACACACACACACACAATTTCTAGTCACTGATCATTGCCTCCTTAACCCACCATAGGAACCCGTGCACTCATTACAATGCTCGCCCCTACACACCAGTCTGCAATGACATGAACTGATCAAAACAGACCAACAGGCTCCCCTGGTGTTTAGTCAGGTGTCTGTACAGCACCACCTCTCTTGACAGCCTGTTTTTTTTAAGAAAATTTTTGTGTGTTCCAAGCCAAATCAATTCAAGTCCATGAGTCATTCAAGAACCATAAGTGGCCCTACTACCAGCAAATATCCTCCACACCCACCTGAGGCTTCAGATGTTTCCAAATCATTTGGAAGGCATCGTATGTGCAGGCCCAAGCCCAGACACTTGGGTTTTGGATTCCCCCGAGTTTCACTTACCCTCAGCTGTATGGCCAGAGGAGCAAGCTGGGGAAGAGTCTCCCATTTCCATAAAGTGGGCGTAAAGCCAAGATCTTAGTACTGGAAATGGAAGTGGGAGGTTAACTATACATTACCTCTGCAGGCACTACCCGATGCCAGAAGAGCAGTTTTCCCCAGCGACTAGAAAAACTGTTGTAGTGGTCATGGTATTTCCCCTGCCAGGGTTTGTTGGGGGGTTTTTTGCAAAAAATATTTATATATATATATAACACTCCAGTTCCAACACTCTGCCAAGAGACCCTTGTGGTTCACTTGGCAGCTCAAAGCACACTAAAAACCCATTACACTGTTCGCACTGCACAACTGCGCAGTTGTGCGCACCCATACCTCCACTCACTGCCCTCCTCAGAGGGGTTAATCCTGAAAAAGTCTATGCCAGGCCCCTCTCCACCAGATGAGGTCTGCCATTACTTTCCTGTCGTCCTCTTCTATGTTTCTGTAGTACTGGTAGATTTCACTTAGTCCCATTTTAATACAGTCCTCAACTGTGGGGTCTGAGTGTCTGTTTGTGAGCAGGTTTCTGGTTTTCCACAGTGCAGACCTGAAGCAGCAGATGAATCGGTCGAAGCATGCTGTTGGGGCCCCGCGCTGTCTGGTCAGGTGCCCACAGAGTAGCTCTTCTCTGGCCAGGTTTCTGACATCTGTCACCACCAGGAAGAGCGCATGGACTTTCTTCCGCACCTCCCTGGCATATGGGCAGTCTCAGAAGAGGTGGTCAATTGTTTCTGCCTGCCAGTGGCAGGTCAGCCTCGGGCAGTTCAGTGGACTTCTCTGCCCTGCACTGCTTCTCCATGCCCGCACACGAAGTGCCCAGTGGGCTTCCTGCCAGTTTAGGTCTCTGTGCTTCTTCTGCAGTTCCTTGTGAAAGATTTGTTCCCACATGGCCTGGCAGCTGTCACTAGGTAGTAAGTCTACCAGTGATATGGTGTCTCTTGCCCTTACCACCTCCCGTATCTTGCGGTGGATTACCAGGGTTGCTAGTAGCATCATGCAGCTTGTATTTCTCTCAAAAGCACTTCAGGATCTCATAAAACCATGGGGAAAACATGATCTATGGGCTCCCGTTAGTCATTGTGTGCACTTGCTACTGTTGCAGCAACTGCCCTGCAAAATACTTAACAAAGCTGGCTGTTTTAGATTCCCCCTCTGTTGCCAGTTTGCAAACCTGGCTCGTATACTTGGCCCACAGGAAGAGGAGGATGTCTGGCATTCCTCTGGCTCTGAACCATTTTGCTTTGTACAGCTTGGCCCTTGCCACTTTCACCCATGTGGAGTTCCAAAGGAAAACACACATGGCTCTCTGGATTCTGCAAACAACTTGTTTGGAGAGGGGAGGAGGGGGAGATGACTAGAGCAGTGTGTAACAGCATCGGCAGAAGTATCACCTTCGTCAGTGCCACCCAACCCGCCATTGACAGGCAGCGTGATTGCTATAGCCCCAGTCTCTGTCTGGCCTTACCCTCTGTCTTTTCCCATGCCCTCCGCTCCATCAGCTCTGGGCTGAACTCCACCCTGAGGATCTTTACTCTTTCCTGGGGGGCAGAAACCCCCAGGGGCAATGGGTCCTCAAGCTTACCCAGTACTAGGCTAGTGCTTTTGTTCACATTGAGCTTAGCCCCTACTACTGCTCCATATACCTAGGTGTATTGTAGTGCTCTTTCCATTAACCCTTCATCCCCACCCACAATGCTCAGGTCATGCAAAGGCTCCTGTCTGAGTTGTGGCGATAATGGTTCCATTTTCCTGTCAGATATTTAACCCCTATCACTACTCTGAATAAAATATATATGATGATTTAGTGCATGCAGTCCCCCTCAGCACCGACTGTTTTTCAAGTCATGGTGATCCACTACATTGCATACATTTTTACTTTTTCTTTATTCCCACAGCTGAGTTGTATCTTTCCTTCCCATTTCCAATGATTCCTGTTTCTTCACCAACATTAAATGTCTGGAAAACATCACCAAAGAGGCTAAAAAGTTCATTGGGAATCCCTCTCTCACCTCTTCTCTCAGCCTGTTGCATATCATTAGTGTGGCCATGCCCTTCATGAGGTGGAGCCAACCCAGGTTGCTTTGCACCTCATCTGCATATAATTTTTTGAAGGATCCCAGGATTCATGACAAGAGCACCTGGTTCTGAGTGGGGAGGGTTAATTAACATGTGGATCATTTGTTGGGGGTATCTGGAATACCCACACATACTAAGCAGTGCTCAGCTATGGGATCACCATGGCTTGAAATGCTGTTGGCTCTGCTGTGGTCCAGCCCAGTGAGCTATATGGAAGATTAAAAATTTTTTGATTCTAAGGTAAAAGCATTTTTAGTTTGCAGTACATAAAGCTCAGGTCAAGTATAGTCCCTGCTGCCTCTTGTAAGGGCTTACATATAGAACCTTAGTCTTTTGTAGGTCAAGATCACTTCGAGCAATGTTATGTAGTTAGGATGGGGGGGGGTCTTTTATATTCAAATAAATATGGTAAACTCAAGATTTAATTAAAAAGGGCTCAGATGTTTGTCATATTGAATGAAATAGTTTGAATGTTTGTAAAGGTTGCCCATTAGCCAGTTTCAGGAAGAAGATAGGATTTATCTCCTTATCTAGCTCATTGTTTCGGAGCTACGTGCGAAATGTCCTGACTTCACTTAAAGTCTTAATTTAAATTGTATCTTTAGAAGTTTTTTACAAAGAAAGCAAATATCCTGAATTCCGAGACATCAAAGCCTAAGGCCTTTTAACCAAATTGCTAAGAAAAAGTATTTACAGTGATATGGAAGTCTCCCCAAGAATAATTTAAAAATGCTCAACAAAGGTAATTTCTGTTGAGTAAGATCCGAGCCCAAATTTGGGAGGTATGATAAGTTGAGTAGGAGGAGCCAAAGGACGGCAGCTCACTCAATAAAAACCTGTAACTTACTGTCCCAATTTGGAGGTGACTTCACTTGCAGAACAACGAAGGAAGAATCGCAAGTGTAAACTCGGATTAGATTGATCACCTAATCCAACCTCTCCGTGAACACGAATCTCTAAGTTCACGCTGAAGCCGCGGAGCGCCTGAAAGGGACTGAAGGAAGGGGACGTAGTCCTATCACTGGTGAG